TTTTAAAAATTAATGGGCAAAGTTGATGATAATTGAAGGGTTCATGTAAATTTTTTTTTTCGTCAATCAATAAAAAAAAATTAAAAAATATCATGACAACAAAATTAAACAGCAAACAACACTACAATAAATTAAGGTTTTAGGGTAAAAACTTTAGGTGCGAAATTATTTTTTAGGGACAAAATATTTTAGTTGTTAAAAATGTAATGCTGTATTTTTAAAGACGAAATTGGACATTTAGTAATGAGTTATTATCTTTTTTGTTTTGCTCCTATGATTGCATTTATTAGCAATAATTTCAAAATTTTGTCACTAAATATTTTTTTACTGAACATTTTGGTGACGATTGAAATTGATCTTTTAATATTTTTTGCAATAAAATTTTTTCATTTGGAAACAAAAAAAAGTTGTCTCTAAAACCCTTATATGTTTGTTTGTAGTGTACTAAACAATTTTAGCAAATCACAAAATTATTATGACATAGTAATATTATCAATCAGATATTACTGAACAGCATGAATATTGTTAATTCTGATTGGTCACAACCATAGAAACAAGAAGATTGGTGGAAGATGCCCCCCATATAAGCATTTTCTCAATCACTATAGAATCCAAGGAAAATTGGGAGTTGAAATTCCCGGAAAATTGACTTGTAGGAATCCTAAGATTCTTGCTAAAAGTAAACAATCAAAATAACAGTCAAGAAGACCAAGACCTCACGTGAATCTCCAATTCTCGTGCCAAATTCTTGTAAACAATCAAGAGCCCAAATAACCTATTTGAACTAATTGGTCAGTTTAATTGGTCAAAACTTTTATATTTTATTAAAAAATAGTGGTTCGAATATTCATTACTTACGTGTGTTGTGACTTTTCTCACTTATTTTACGAGTTTCTTTCTATTAATTGTAGATTTATTTAATCTTTATATTTTGATTATAACTCATCGGATTTAACTAGAATATGAGATATGAATAAAATAATAATAAAAAAATTTCAAAGGTCATGAATTGTAACCGAGATTCAACTAATACGTTATGATGACAGGCTAATTGATCAATTTAAATTCAAAGCATGAGCTCAAAACCCAACTTGAATGCTTGATTAGTTTATACTTAAAAAATAAAAAATAAAAAACTATGCACTACTTGCTTCGTCTCGTGTTCCTCTCTCTTTTTGTCACTTTGAACATCTAAAACAAACTGTCATTAACCTCAGTCCTAATAAATAATTATCATATATTCATTTTTCTCTTTTTTTGAAGACTTTGAAAAGCTGTCAATTTTGGTTTATGAGCTCACTCACACCTGTTTGCTGCTTCTTTCATTTTGAAGTAAAGATATGTATTAATGTATAATTTGTTTAATCAGATTGCTTACTTAAAGGTTTTCAAAGCAAGGTTTAAGTTTGTCCTATTGATAATCAAGGATGGCCTTCCCAAATTTTTTAAAAATTATGTATATTATACTAGTAATTAGTAAAATAATTTCAAAATTAGAGTACTTCGCACTTTCAAAATTTCAGTAATTCGCACTCCCCAAATTATTTACATTACAAAATTTTAAAAATAGTTTCTAAATTGAGGTTTATCAACTATTGATCTATTCTATTTGTTATATTTATATATTGTTTAGAGTTACTTATATTCTTTTATTTATTACTATTCTTATATTCTATTCATATGTCCTTTATGTTTTTTTTTCTTCTTTTATAAATCAAACTTTACTTGTATCCAATTATATTTTTGTTCTCAATTATGTTGATAAGAAATGTCCGATTAATAATAATATTATTAACTTTTTTATGCTGATATAAATCAAAATCTAAAATTTTATAATAATTTTTTTTCGATAAAAAGTTGGATGCATTTTTGCCTCCCAAAGCTCAAATCGTGGATCCATCACTGTTGATCATAATCATATTATACCTTTGAGAACGAGAATTAAATATCATTATCATATCATACATACAATGTTTGGGAAAGGTTAGGTGTGGTTTAATACCCTTGTTAGTTTTTCGTTTTGTATTTCCAGTTTATGAAAAACAAAAAAACATAATTTTGTTATTTCGTTATCTTTTTGTTTTTTGCATTAAAAAAGAAAAAGAACAACAACAAAAACAAAAACTAAAAACTTATTCTCATATCAACTCGTTTCAGTTACAAAGTTGATCTTTTCATACTAAGTAGTGGACCAATTATGTTAAGTGATTTATCTGTTCAAAAAAAATTATTGTACTTTTGTCTATAGTACATTTTTCAACTGCATAATCATATTTTGTGACAACCTCATTACATTACTGTTGTGTTTGGTTGAGAGATTTGGGAAGGGATTTGGAAAGGGAAAAGGAAAAGGTGTGTGAAACTAGGTGAAATGTAGGTATATTTTATTCACATTCTACCAAACTTTTCCCTTTCCCTTTCCAAATCCCTCTTCAAATCCTCCAACCAAACACAGCGTACAGGAATATATTGAAACAAAAAAATTGAAAATAAAAAATCTCATGTTAGCTCAAAATCATTCTACATCATGAATGCACGAATAGATGCATATGAGCAATTACATAATTACATACATATATAAGATTGGTATTACGGTGTGTGAAGCAACCAAGGTTTTGGTAACTCAACTAAATAATTAAAAAGTAAGTAAATAAAAGAGTGAATAATAAATTTAAGCACCATAATCAAAGAGTTCCAGGCTAGTTTGAATTGTCACAAGCTGGGTATGCTGTACTGTTTTTCATAGTATATACCTAAAAAATATGGCTATGGTTGTACTCTCTCTCGATCACCATCAACAAGAAAGGTCGCGGGGGTTGCACGCGAAGCACTCGTGTTTCACACGGTCACTGCCCCTGCTATACTCGACATCTTCTGCTACTTTCATTTCATATTACATTACTTGTTACTATGGTTTTCAATCTTATATTACTCTCATTATTTTTTATTAGTTCCCCCATCTTATTATTTATTATAATCCACTTCCATTTTTATTTTTTTTTTTGGTCAAAGAGGGAACCACATGAATATACACATCATCATTCATAAATTATGTGTATCTTTTTTTAATCTCATGTTATGCAATCTTCATTTTCTTCATTGCTTACAAGTTTATCAATCTCTTCAATGGCTCCAAGGGCCATGAGTTAGCATGGATGGACTACAAACAAATTTTGCATTATGTTAAAAAACATTAAAAATGAGTTGTAACTTTGTACAGTTAGATCAAACATACAGTTGTAGCCTCCGTTTGGCAAGTTGGTTCTTGGACTTTTTTGGCTATTTTAGCCACAAAAGACAAAATAGGTTATTTTAGCCATAACAAACAAAACATCACATCCAACCCATAATCATTACATTCTTCTCTCACAAAAAAACTCAAAAAAGCCAAAAAGCCAAAAAGCCCTTCCCAAACCAAGTTTTTAAGCCCAGGCTAAAATAGCCAAAAAAGCCAAAAAGCCAAAAAGCCAACCCACTTCCCAAACGGAGGCGTAATCTTATATGAATCACACTATGTCAGATTATGAGCTAATTTTAGAACTAGTTTGAAATCTCACATGTCATGTCAGAGCATTTTAAAAAGTGGATTTTACTTGTGAATTCCACCACTTTACAAGTCTTATTGACAAGTGATTATAGTTCTGTTGGGTGCAACTTATTATGTGTTACTCATGCATTAACGTTCAGATAATCTTTTTTTTTTTGCTCAATTTATTTAAATTATTTCTGACTAACACTCCGCAGGCAAAAATTACACAAAATAGTCAAACACAAACTCTTTGAATAAAAATAAACTACAAACAATTGAAATAAACTGTATCAAACAATATTGTGAAATTGTGAATGACATGGAAGTCTAGCATTTGTTCACCGGTTGTGCTACATGCATTAATTAGTGTACTAATTAGTGTACCAACACTAGTTATGACATTATTATTGACCCCACTCATTATACAAATTACAAATACCAAAAACCTCTTACATTATACCACATCATCAATTGATATACTAGTTAGTATATTAATTGTTGCATATATCATTATTCTTTGTTCACTATCTTGACCGCAAGCTCATTGCTGGTTATGAGTGAAGTAATAATTTGATTTTTTTTTTTTTACTAATATTAATAAAATTTTTAATAAGAGTGATGGGTTAACCAATATTTGTAATTGTGTCAATAAAAATTATTAATAACAGAGTTAGTAGTATCCTTCATACTTTACTTTTTTGGATAACAAAGAATAAGATTAAAAAAAAATCAAATGACTCGTTTGCTTGATGGGCCTTGCCTAGCCAATTTGTATGTGCCCACAAATTGTGATGTTCGTTTCTGTATAACAAGCTTGAAAGCCCAAATGATGTAACTCCTCGAGGTTATTATAGGGAATGTGATTTAGGTTGTGTTTTGTTTTGAATATTGAATTTGTGGAGAGAAAAATGAAATGAAACAGAAAAGATAGGACAAATAAGCTTCTTTTTTTATTTTGTTAAATATATGTTTACTGTTTATTTCTTTTTCCTCCATATCCAAACGTAACTTAGAAACGGCAAAAGCTATTAACAAGACGACTAAATAAATAAGAAGAAATCAAACAGAGATCAAATATCAAATGCCAATAGAGAGATTTGAAACCAATACCTCTCTTAAGGCTCTAATTGTCGCAAAAACATAAATTCTTGTTAAATAGGCTTAACAATGTATATCAAACTATCCAATAGTTAGAAACAACAATTTGATTCAATTTGAAGCAGTACAAGCACAAGAGAAATGCAAATAAAAATAGTAAAAATAGTATTTTTAGTGGGATAATTGCAAAATAATTACAACATACATAAAAATCTTCAAGGTACACACAAAAGATTCACCCCACATGGTATAGATTTGCACCCTCATGAGATCATTTTACCACTGTCCAATTGATTTGAGATTTTCCCATAATATGGAGGGTGATTGAAGGCATGATAGGGCATGATATAATAAAACCTAGAACCTTTGGTGGTGCAAAGGGCCAAATGTACTAGGTTGCTAAATTTACTGATTTCCTAATTTCAACAGGAAGTAACATGCATACAAATGATTCCAAGCTAGGTCATTTCTATAACAATTTAATTGTCTCTTCTTTTAAACATCATTATATTCCATCAAATTAGTATGTAATGATGGATGCATAAACTTTACACAAAAAATTAAAAACAAAGACAAACAAAAAAGTGTATATTTACATACTTCATTCTTCTCTGGGTATCCACCTGCTCCACCATAAGCTCTTCCTCCGCTGGTTAAGCTCATCCATACTCTCATTCAGTGTTCTTAAAATCTTCCTCTGGAGCCGAAGAGCCGATGCAAGAGCATTCCTTTGTGCACTTGCCTTCTTCTTAGGTTCTATCTCCTGCATATCACAAAATGAAATCAAAACAAGAAAAAAAGTCCCATCAACACTTGTTTGCAAATAACATAAATTCAGAGTATAGTTTGATACAGACTCTGAGCTCTTGAAGCTGAGCTTCAGTGAAGCCACCGTCTTGCTTTGTTCCTGATTTCGCCATTAACCCAATAACCCACTTGGCAGCTTCCCCATAATCCTGTTGTGTGGTTCGGAAAAGTTGAAGCCGTAATTTCTGCATGAAGGATAAAGCCAAAAGGCCTTCTCTATCGAAGTATGGATGTGCTAAAGCAGCTTTTGCGCTAGTTCTTTTGCGTGCTTTGTACCGAACCATTGATGTTAGAAGTTCCCATCCTATCCCTTCGTCTAAATCTAACAATTCAAATCCCCTTCGGAGTTCATTGTTGGCACGAGGTTCTACAGTTTTCCTCCAAGCAACCAAATCATAGTCACATCTTTTTAGTTGACGGTTGAATTGTATGAGACTACTGTCGGTGCGTAATGCTGGGAATGCCTGTATAAAGAACATTGATAGAATGTTTGAGTAGTTCTACTAACAGCATAAAAACCCCAATAATATATAGATAGCATTAATATTTAACACCCAATATTTGTTGTTAATAGACATGATTGTTCTGATTCTAAAAAACTAATTGCAATTAGAAAGTTCCAACATATTGTGAATCTAGGCTTTCCAAATTTCAATGGGACTGAAAAACATTTAACTTGTCATTTTGATTGGAGCCACTTCTAAACCTCTTACAGTAAAGTAGTTCATAATTTTTTAAGAGTTTCCCATGTTCTCAAGGAATAAGGTTTCCAATTTTTTTGGGCTTTGTTTCACTTGGGACCTGGTAAGTTGAGATTTGAAAATCAGACTGAATTTAGACCATGGGTATATGGTTCAGAATGAACTTAAACTTCCAAAAATTGATCCCAATTGTAAAGTGTGAAACTATAAACTTAAAAGTTGAAATTCATAACTTTGTGTGCCTTTTGTAAGTAATTTACATTCGTGTTGTTGCATTTGTGCAAAATATTTTTTTGACTTTTTGTACATCCAAACACACAGAAAAATACCAAAAATGTTTTTGGCAAGAATATTTTACATTGAAACAAACGGGGCCTAAGAATAAAACTGCACTCTGGTTGCACAATAGGTGCCTTCTTTTTATTGTAGTAAGTACATACATCTATACAGACACACATCTGCATGTGTGTGGTGCATGCATAGACTAGTTTACGTATAAATAACAAATTTGAAATTTATTTGATTCTCAAATTTAAAGTAAATTTAAACACTACAGATTCACATAATATATGGGCTTGCATAATAGTTATAAGGTTAAATGAGGCAAATCGAATACAGCAATGCTCAAATGATTGTAGCACTACCTGTCAAAATCAGTAGAATTTTGGTCTAATCATGATTAACATGGCTGGATTTGACTCTTGTTGAAGTGCTCTGAAGGGACTCTTTAAACTCAAGCAAACAAGAGTGGCAGTCATAGTCAAACAAGTAACTTACCATTTGTAGGAAAATGAGACCGCTACTGTAGATATCAAATCTATCTGGTAGATTCAGCTGTTCAAGAATTATATAATCATAACCACGGGAAAAAAGTTTATTTGACTAAAAGATAAACCAATCGGAAATTAAGCTGGGCATGTTCACAATGGAAAGGGACCTGCCACAAAACTGGGGAAAGTGCTGTTGCGACTGGAACCGAAGGTGCAGATGGAGTTTGCGTGCTCATAATGTATTGCTCAGGTGCAGTATATCTGAAGCGGGAAAGGAAGAAAAAGCCATGAAGACAATGTCAAAAGAAAGTAGCATGAGATTAAATTCTAGTGGAACTGAATAAAATTTATCTATGATGGCCTAATTCTGAATAGACTTGATTATGTCATGCAAGACAAACTTGTACATCCTTGCAACCATGAAGGCTCAAATGTTTCTTCAAATGGTCTAGTTTTCATTAAAAACAATAAAAAAATTAATGTCTCAAAATAGCACCAACATGACTTTCCCTTGGACACACACAAAACGTAATTTAGCTTTAGGGTTTTTCAAATTCCTAAGTAACCCCTAAAATATCCTGTTTAACTACACTAGGGGCAGCAGCCCAACTATTTTTGGGCCTGAGGCAAAATCTCAAAGGAGGCCTTTTGACATTTAAATATTTGAAGATGGGGTATTGTTGATGATCTCTATTGTGTGTTATGTGACAGATGAGAGGAGCGACTATCATCTATTTTTCAAATGTATGTTTTCCCAGCAAATTTGGAAGCAAAAGTTGGTTAAGAATCAGATTATGAGGCACCCCTTGAAGATGGATGAAGAGTCTAGGAATGGACAATCTTTTTCTCATTCAATTTACAAGCTATCATTTGCTGCCTCTATATATAATGTTTAGATTGAAAGGACCTCCAGAACTTTCTATCACATTTATTCAGAGCCTGATGCTGTTGTGGGTAAAATTGTTACTGGTATTAAGGGTAGGGTAGGTTGTGTATAAAACATTGCTTAATTTTTCTAATAGTAAATTTTTATTTAAATTTATTTTTCTTACTTTTCAAGATGCAAAATTACTAATTAAGTTTTTACAATGAAGTTTTTTTAACATATTTTTAATCCATTTACTAATTAAGTTTTCATTATAAACTTTAAAGAGAAGAAATGTTGATCTTATTAGAAGATATTAGGCTTCTAGCACACCTGACTATTTTGGGGCCCAAATCATAAAAAAACAAAAAAACAAAAAAAAGGTAGAACATTCTAGCATATGTGCCTTTTATTTATTTGATCCAGTGCGTGCGTACGCACACACACACAATAAAAAATAAAAGCACAAGGTTTCTCTTTTTCTTTTTTCTTTTTCTTTTTTTTTTTTGAAATTATGATTTGAGCATTTCAAGTCTCGTGAAATTCATTTTTAGGCCCTGAGAAATGATAAAATTTTTGAGCTTTTACCATTATTAAGGACCATATATCATTAAGGGTCTTAAAAATTTGGGGGCCTTAGGCAGTCATCGAACCCACCTAATGGATGGGCCGTGAAACATGAATTTCAGGCATTGAAGTCCCAAATTTAATGAGTATACAGGTAACAAGATTGCACTTCTTCACATTCACTGGGACAGCATCTACATGGCATGACAGATTAAGCTTTTTTCTTTTTTCTTTTTTCCTTAAATGCCATAAAATGACAATACTTTCATGCAGCAGTTCTAATTCAGTAAATGCTTTACAAATTAGATTGAAAATGAATTGGACTCATTCGCCTTACAATCTCTTTCCAGACTACTCGACTCTTCCACCATTCTAACCCTACTCCAAGCAATTTGGTGAACAGAACACATGAAACTACAAGAGGGAAAATCGGAAGTGAACATTGGCCTGGTATCTGGATGTTCATCAGAATATGAAGTACCCAATTCTGATATATTGCAGGATTTGAAATGAGTTTGTGTTTTTCGGTAACCATAATAGTGGTCCATTTTCTTAAACATTTGTTCAATTTCAATTTACTTTATTTTAATAAAATTATTTATCAGTTCAGAAGTTGAAGACCTAAAAGATGTGACATGCAGTGAAATACCTAAAAAATGTGAAGTACAGTGAAATAGATTGTGAACAACCATTAAATTGATATAAGAATCTTTGCATCATATCAACTAGCTAATTCCATCATGGCATGGAAAAAATATAAAATAAAAAAAAATACCTTGGGTCTAAAAGAAATTCCTTTGGGATATAGTTGATCCCTACTCGCAAATCTGCTGCAGCACCGAGGTCAATAATCTTGAATGTGCGAGACCCTGCTTTAAGTTTACATGGAAACAGCTAAATATTTACTCCTAAAACAGCTGAACTCGGCTAAATTTATATGCTGTACTTACCTTCAGAGAAAATAATATTTTGTGGCTTTATATCTCTGTGGACAATCCCTGTTGAGTGAAGACCATCCAATGCAAAGAGGAGTTGTCTCATAATTGTCTGAATGATTCTATTTTCCCTTTCCAACCCCTTTGGCAAGTTCTCATCTTCTCCAAGAATCATTGCTTCCACCTGACAATGTATGTGACAATAGTGAGATCGGCATTTCAAAGCTAAACTAAACCAATCTGTAGCTTACGAATTAAAATCATAAATAATAGATCTCTAGGCTAAAGGATGGGTGACTATAGGAACACATCTCAATTGCTCTCATAGTGGGTGAGGAAACCTAGAAAGAACATTACACCTTTACAATACATAGGGACGGATGGAGGATTCTAACCTTAAAGGGGGAGAACGTACATAGAACAATATAAAATTTAGTGCTTGTGCAGTTAAGTTTTGACAATTTTTATTGCTGAAAATGTACATTTTGTTGTTGCCATCGAAACGGGTAATGTTAAAACAAGACAAATCAATCTATCATAAGAGAATAAATTGTCAATTTTCTTGTTTTCACAAACTCCTAGCACAACTTAAAAATTATTAACAACTTTTGAAAGTCAGGATGTCTAGGATGTCAATCTCATAGTTTTGGAACTGAAAGTTCAAATGCAAATTTAATTTATTTTCTAGCTTTGCAATTATCTGCAATTTTCAATACCTATAACTGTCCCTAGGATCTAAATCATAACTAAGAACAAACAATTCCATCACATCCTCCTTGTTTAAGTCTTGTAATTAAGTGTCACATATCAACCCGAAAATGATGCCCAATGGTAATGTGATTTCTTTGATGAAGAGCACGGCCTCCATCTAATGTAAGATCATAATAATAATAATAATAATAATAATAATAATAGATAACTGAAATAGAGAAATAAGAAGAAGACGAAGAACTAAAAATAGAAGAAATTTTGAATAGAGATGGAGAAGAGGAAAAGAATAAAAATAAGGGCAACTTTCATTTTACCCAAATTACCCCCTCTCATTTAGAAATAACCACATAGCCCTCTTGTGATTTGTGGACTAAAGTTAGGCCCATTAATGAAAAAGATTAAAATACTCATGTATAAAAATAACCAAAGTGTGTGAATTACAAATATTTTCGTAATTTGTTTAGAAGGCAAAATGTAATTTAACCCCTTGTGCTTTATTCCATGTGCAATTCACCCCCTTGAAATTTGAAAATGAGCATATAACCCTTTTATGGCTGGCACATGTTTCACAATTGCTGTTAAGTTGGACAGAATGTTTAACAGTGCACTTCAGTCAACAAACCACAAGGGGCTATGGGTTTATTTCCAAATGAGATGGAAGTAAAGTGAAATTTGCCCTTAAAGTAAACTGAAAATGGAGATTGTATTGAAGAGAGAATAGAAACAACAAAAAAGACAAGGAAAAAACAACGACAAAAGAAGAACAAGAGGCTAAGAGGGAAACATAATTGGAGCTAAAAAGTGAAGACTGAAACTTGAAAATGCAGGATGAGTTAAAGAAATCATGGAGGAACTGGTATTAAATTTCTCAAAAAATCTTGGGGGGGCGAGCCTATATAATTTATAAATATTCATAACTAATACAACTATATTTAAGGAGTTTTTCAAATTTGGGGTTGTGGTCCCCGCCCCTCTCTCTCTCTCTCTCTCTCCCCGTCCATCCCTGACAATACACACAAACTTCATCATCTGATCTGAGTTAGCCTACAAGTTGAACTAGCATCCTTACTAATTCCAAGCATCTCACGGCAATCTTCTAAAGTAACTGGGACTGGTAAAACTAAAATTTTGATGAGAAATTTATAATCCACACTTGCATAGAACTCACATGGTACCATTCCCATTAGGCGTTTAGCACATACACAAAATCACCATTACTATTCCATTCTAAACACGACATAGTCTTGGAGTCCAACAATCAGATAAGGATTTTTATTCAAGACATCAGACGTACAGAGCACTTTACGATGATCAATGAAGAGGTGCATTGTTTGAAAGTTCAAACACAAGTGACTAATATTAGTTAACAGACTTGAAATGGAAACCACCTTTTCCTTTTATTGAAGCTCATTTTAAATATTAAATCAGCCCATGCCCAAATTAAATCTTAGTGTATTACAAGTTGTTTAATAATTATAAGGAGGGCTATAGTTTGTCAGTAAGTAATCGAGCACTATAATATACATTAATGTGCCATTATTGTTGTAGTTGTAAACCAAAAAAAATTTCCATTTGTTTCTAATTTAACTACACGATAATTATTCCACTATCCATGCAAGTGGAGCTAAGATCAACTCTTTGAGTTATTCCTTTATCCACTTTTAACTTTTGAGTTGTCGCATATCCTTCCAAGTGGATTTCCGTACAGCATATATCAGCTGATTTACCACAATTTATCACATATTGAGGCTACGCTTTGCATTCTAATGTGTGTTCATCTTGAAAATTGTCTGTCCTAGGATCAATCCAACTTTACATTTTTATTTCACAAACTATTGGTACAGGAATATATATTCCCTTGATTGTCCAATTCTCTGTTTCTCAATCAAGAGGAGCCAATGTCCCCTTTTATTGAACATCACCAAACAAAAAGACCACTTTTCTTTCCATGGGAGTACCTAATCAATTTGATTTTTATAAGCTCATTATGTAGAACTCCCAAAGAACATATCGAACAAGTCACCTAGCGGAAATTCTAGTGCAAATATCCTCCATATTCCCTCTATATTTTTTTAATGCTTCATCTGATATAACAAAGTTCCTCCTTTAAGACCACATATAGTCATCAGTGTTCACTGATAGTTCAGCTTAAAGCAAGTATTTATAATAGGTTCTCCTATGTTATTACTAAAATTGGGTTGTTTTTTAAGCACCCATTTACATTGGAGCTTAATCTTGCATATGAGCAAGTTCTGTACCCTTCCATTGAGCCAGAAGATCATCCCCCCAAAAAATAGTTGAGCAAGAAGTTAGGTTAGGGCTTGAAGTCAACCATAGTTGTAACCCAAATTATCACTTGGGAACATGTGTCCCATCCAGTTATTGCCTTAGTTGTAGTACATTCACACACCCATTTGTCCCATCCAGTTCAATTGGTTATCACAGCAGTGCTACACACTAGTATAAATAACCAAGCTACCTAACAGCAATGTTATCATGACAGAAACAATTTTCACTATTATGTGAATGAGATTAAATTTTTGTAAAGACGAGCAATGTTCCAAACCTACAAAAACAGGAACAACAGAGTTTATTTTCAACAAAGACATCAAATAATTCTGAAGTAGAGATGACTAGTATCTGAGAGTTCTGCCATTCCAAAATGCAATAAGAGAAAAGCACTAACATTGTAGGGGAAATCTTTACTCAGCATTAAATCTGAAAGTGTGGCTTCCCCTTCAAACCGCCATATAAGCCAATACTCTTCACCTCCTTTCTTTGAAGAAGTCTGAAATGAAATGTGAACTAATTTTTATCAAAAAGCTCAAAATGGAGAACAATACCAGTCAAGGCTAATCCAAAATTTATTGAGATTAAGATACCCCTAATTCATATTGTAGTAGTACTAGACATAATAGGGCAACACCTCAAGAAAGCCGTACACAAAATCAGCGCAGCTATTTGCACAAGCCCTTCGCGCTCGCTCATTCATCCAGATCTCAACAGCACCGTATTCAGTAGCCTTTTTCAAGACTAAATCACCAGCTTTCTAGCAACCACCAAGAAGAATATATTATAATACCTGTCAATTTCAAATTTGACACTATGTTTGGGAACCTATGAGAGAAAAGAAAAGAAACGATTACATAAGTTAAAAGATAAAAGAAATGAAGAGAAAAGATTGTGTTTTCTCTCCTTGTTTGGATAAATAGGAGAGAATAGAGAAGAAAAAATAATTGATTTTTCTCCTATCCTAGTTGGTTAAACTACATAAAAGAAAATAAAAGAAATTGTTTCATCTTATATTACCAAAATAACCTTTTATAGGCACCAATTTTTTTTTTTATTTCTTCTATATCTAAGGGGGCAGTTTTGGTATTATAAAAAAATAGAAATTAGTTGGTTAAATTTCTCTCCCAGTCTTTCCACTTTTAGAGAGATTCAATATGTGGGTTATAAGAGAAATGGGAGATCTCTCCATTTCTTCTCATTTCTCTCCTCTATGCTTATCCAAACAACGATAGGAACGAAGAGCAATCCATTTTTTTCTTTTCTTTCCAAATCACTCAATCCAAACGAGCTGTTAGTTTTTTAGGGGGAATAAGCTCCTTTTTCTTTGACAGTTTTCATATTAAGAATGGACTTTATTTTCTTAAGGGTAAATTACAATAAACCCCTTTAAACAATAACCCAATTGCATTTTTTCCCCTAAACTTCAAAACTCACCAATTAACCACCTCAAAGTATTATATTGTTACAGTTAACCCCCTCAAAGTATTATATTGTTACAGTTAACCCCTTATGGTAGGATTATGCTAGGGATTTACACAAAATCAAATAATATGTAAAGCACATGACACATTTATTGAATTTTTAGGCTAATAATGCTCTTATATGGGGATCCCATTTGCACTTTACCACTAAAATAAGGGAGACAAAGTGCAAATGGGATCACTAGATAAGAGTATTATTGTCCTAAATAAATCAATAGCTAGTACTATTGTCCTAAAAATCAATAAGTGTGTCATGTGCTTAGCATATGACCTGATTCCATTTAAATCCCAAGATATAATCCTATCAGAAATGTCAAGTGTAACAAGATAATAGTTTAAGGTGGTTAACTATTGCATTCTGAAGTCCAGGGAGACAAAGTGCAAATACATCATAGTTTAAGGGAATTTATTGTAATTTACCCTTTTCTTAATCATACAAATCAAAATTGAAACAACTAGCTGGTAACAAAAGCCTGTATGACTGTTAAATCCAAGACCACATGAAACTTATTCCTTTTACAAACAACAAGGTTGATTCATACAAGTGATAGATACTAACCAAACAAGTGAATGCTACAATTTCAAAGGGGAATTTCATCAAACACGTCATGTATACCTTTGAAGAGGGCTTCTTAGCGAGTGAAGCTCTATACACCACACCAAAAGCACCCTCACCCAACTTCTTTCCCAACACAAAATCATCCTATCACAACACAACAAACCCAGAAAAACAAAAACAAAAAAATCATTCATCAAAACAACAGCAAATCAAAAAACTATCAGACCCCCAATTTTTTTTATTGTTTCTTCAACAATTTCTGATTAACTCACCTTCCTGTAAGTGGGTCTGAACAATCTCTCAACAAAAGCAAGAACAAACATGTCCCAAAATCCAGGAGCCACACCAGGGGTAGCCCAGAGATACGAAACAGCACCAAGAGCTAGAGCCAACCCAGGAACAGTAGGACTGATGGCATTAGATCTGGGTAGTGTGCTTCTGTATATTATATCACCACACTCCATGACAGTGCAAGGGAGTCCCACTCCAACACCCACAAAGAGGTCATGAGCAAAGTTGAAAAATTCTCCTCCAGAGGCATAAACTATTAGTGGTTTTGACTTTGAGATTGTGAATTTTCCATGTGGGTTTGGAACTGAAGTGGGTCTGAGCTTGATTTTCTTTCCCAGGAATGGATTTGGGGGTTTTGGGTTGAGAGTGTGGAGCTTCACTCCTCCCAGTCCTACTCCTCCTGCTGCAATAGTTGCCATGTCTGTTACAGACTCAGATTCTACACTTATATATCTATTTGTATGTGTATATACATGTATATAGAGACTGGTTCACTTGGATTTTCCTTCAATATCTACTCTCTTTCTCTTTCTTGATATATTTTTTTTTAATATTTTTTGTGACAGTTATTTCAGGTATACTTGTGGATGCAAATGGCTTGACTTTGATTTGGCGAGAGATATAGGCCACATATCAGATGAGACGTGTGGACTCATCTCTTGGGTTGGGCTCTATATGGATAGTGAATGATGGGCCTTTTGAAGTCAGTGATCTCAGCCCAGTTATATGGAATAGGACCGATCTGTAAATCCCCATGCTGTTATCCAATTAGGTACTTCTTGAATTAAAAAGCCCTAGATCCCTTTGGGTCAACCAAGCTCCTCAGTCGGATGGACCCTAGGATCTCAATATTTGGTCGAAGGTCCCTCGTTATAAGATTATATTAGTATAAAACGGATAAAGCTAAAAAAGTTTCTTAACTCCAGCTTTCTAATGTGTTGGAGACTAATTTTGAACAAAAATACCCTTCACTACATTATTGCACTGATCGGAATGTTTTTATTTTTCAATTATTTTGAAACTTAAAAACTCAGTAACTTTTCATGTGGATCATTATTTTTCGATAAAATTAATATTTTTGAAATTTTTTCATTACGATCGATGAAACTAGACTTGTGATAAATATGAACTTTTGAAAATATTAAAAACAATCCGTTGAGTTCATTGTTTTTAAGGTAGTGAAACTTCACTGTTTTGAAGAGAGTGAAATTTTTCAATTGATGGCTAAAGATTGTAAAATGGAAGGCCAATTGCAAAAATTAGATAACTACCTTCAAATTTAGAACTTGAAATGTCAAATCGACAACCTCAAAATGATAAAATTAGAAATTTCTCTTTTCTAAAATAGTAAAATTTGACTGTTTGAAGATAGTTAAATTTCTGGATGAAGATTCTCTTTTTTCCATAGTTGTAAGAGAAGATGTTCATTACATCATCTAAGGATTGTGAAATAATCATAAGAATTTATCAATATTTTAAATTTAGAAAGAATCATTACAAACTTTTAGATAATGCAATAGAGATCCTCTATTACAATTTTAAAATGAAGAGGATCTGTTTGCACCATAAATAAAATTTAGGCCGATCATAAATACGTTTAAACTTTTTATTACTTATTATTATTTTTGTTATTATTATTATGATTATGCAAGAAAATCTTGAAAGTTAAAAGAAGTTAAGTCAAGTTTTGAAAATTCAAGGAATAGAGGACAAGTGGCAATGTAATAAGATGGAAGTTATATGGGTGGTTAGATGATAATTAATAGAAGTTTTTTCCTACATTTTTTTGTATAAATTGCCATTGATGGCTCTATTATAAAAGATCACCAACAAATCAATACATGACTTGATTTTCATTTCCTTTCTATCCTAGGAGTAGATCTAATCTCCATAAGAGTAGTTTAAACTTAAATAGGAGTAGTCTTAATGTACTTTCTTGTATTTGATTGTTCATTCAATCATTTACATCATCATCTTCTTCTTTTTTCTCTATTTTCTCTTGTTTGTTTTGTCATTATTTTTACTTCAAGAAAATTCTTGAAGCTTTCAAGGCAAAGAACCTCAACATAATTTCTTGATCATTGTGTTATTTGGTGAGATTTTGGTTAAGGTTCTGTCGATCTAAACCTAACAAAAATTTTATTAACAATTTTTGGCACACCTGGTGAGACATCGCCCTAACTTGGAGAAAAAAATTTATAAAATATAAAGAACTTATGCCGTCAAGTGGCATATTTGCATCTTGTGCACCCATGAATGCAAACTACCAATAGAGTGGCAATGTTCTAATGAATATGAATTATTATTGGAATGTCTCATCTTCCATGTATAATGATTTTCAATATTATGACAATAATTCTACCGTCTATTGCCAACATAGTGGTATGACAAATGATATGGAAAAAATAATTCGATGTCGCAAGGATGAAATTCATTGGTGAAAGAGTGAAATTTTGGCTCTACAAGAAGAAATTAATTATTTTGATTGACAAAAATTTCAAATAATTTCATCACCGCCATATTATTTAATGCAAAAATATATAAATTACTTTGATGAAAAAATTCGTCAACTTAGGTTTCGTTTAGCAATATCACTTTTTAGCCTAAAAGTCAAAAAGTCACTAAAAAAAAATTAAAAAATCAATAACATATACCAAAAAAGGCAAAGATTTCATTTTTTCTGTACTTTTTTCATATCTTTTCTTAAAAAATCAAAAAGTCATCCCAAACATACTATTTTTTTTTTACATCATATTTTAGCCAAAAAAGCCAAAAATTTAGTAAAAAAATCACATTCCCAAACAAGGCCTTAGTTGTCAATTTTATCAAGTTGATGGAGAAATTCAACATCGAAGTAAAAAATTAGAGAATCTTAAAAAACACAAATTTTATGTGATTCTAAGTGGCTCTTCCAAGCAAAACTTTCTCTCCACAAAAATCATGACAAAGGATAAATTAAGTTTTGAAAATGGCATGCCTGAGGGGCAATTTTTTAAGCCATTAATTGAAAAAGAAGATCAACTTCTTTTGCCAAAAGTTATTGAGCATTTTAATTCAATTATTGGATATGGTTTTAAATCAAATATGACAAAGAATGTTGAACAGCCACTACAAAATGATAGTTAACATTCAATTAAAGAACATGATTTTAAGTCAAACATGGCTAAAATTGATGAACAACCATAACAAAATTATGATAAAAATCCAATTGGAGGGCATAATTTTAAGCCAAACATGGCTAAATTTGATGAAAAAACATCACAAAATGATGGTGAAAATCCAATTAGGAGATATGATTTTAAGCCAAACATGGCCAAAAATTATGAGCAGCCCACATTTGATGAATTTGAATTTTTCGACATTGTTAATTTTGTCAAAAAATGTAATTTTCTAAAGTCAATTGACATTATGATTTATGTCATCCAACAACTACAATGGCTTTGTGGGTTCATATTAAAAATTAATTTTGATGAATTGGTTTGCAAAAAGAAATTTTGAATTTTATTTCTATTTCTATTTTTTATATAACTATAATGGGGGAGTATTTCGATGTGGCCACAATAACAAAAAACTATATATATATATGGCCAATCGATTATAATTTTCACAGTTTCTATTATATATTTATGTTCATACAACTCTTCAACAATTCGAATACTCATTCTTAAAGAGTTGGGGGGGCATTGTTTGCACCATAAATAAACTTTCTGTTAATTGTAAATAGGTTTGAACTTTCTATTACTTATTATTATTATTATTATTATGATTATGCAGAAAAATCTTAAAAGTTAAGAGGTAGAATTAAGTTTTCAAAACTCCACCAAATACAGCCTGTCATTTGTAAGGAATTTAATTTTTAATTTATCCATAAGTCCTAGTTTTTGAAACGTTGAACCATTTAGTCCTAAAAGTTTTCTTATACTCCATTTAGTCCTATTTTTACATCAACATGATGTGAATGATGTAAATGATCTGATTGAATTTGAATTTTTCAACATTGTTAATTTTGTCAAAAAATGTAATTTTCTAAAGTCAATTGACATTATGATTTATGTCATCCAACAACTACAATGGCTTTGTGGGTTCATATTAAAAATTAATTCTGATGAATTGGTTTGCAAAAAGAAATTTTGAATTTTATTTTTATTTTTTATATAACTATAATGGGGGAGTATTTCGATGTGGCCACAATAACAAAAAACTATATATATATAAATATGGCCAATCGATTATAATTTTCACAGTTTCTATTATATATTTATGTTCATACAACTCTTCAACAATTCAAATACTCATTCTTAAAGAGTTGGGGGGCATTGTTTGCACCATAAATAAACTTTCTGTTAATTGTAAATAGGTTTGAACTTTCTATTACTTATTATTATTATTATTATTATGATTATGCAGAAAAATCTTAAAAGTTAAGAGAAGTTAAGTCAAGTTTTGAAGATTCAAGGGATGGAGGACGTGGCAATGTAAGAAAATGGAAGTTATATGGGTGGTTAATAGAAGTTTTTTCCTACATTTTTTTTGTATAAATTGTCATTAATGACTCTATTGTAAAGGATCACCAACAAATTAATACATGACTTGATTTTCATTTCTTTTCTATCCTAAGAGTAGATATAATCTATATAAGAGTAGTTTAAACTTAGATAGGAGTAGTCTTAATGTACTTGTATTTGATTGTTTATTCAATCTTTACATCATCATCTTCTTCTTTTTTTCTCTCTTTTTTCTTGTTTGTTTTGGTATTATTTTTGTTAGGTTTTTATTCTTGGCAATCTCGTTTGACAAAACTCCTTTCAGTTGTAATTTTATTCGTTCTTGTATTTCAGTGAGGATATGAGTTTTAGATGCGAATCCAATCCGAATTGTGCCTTGTAGAGAAGTTTGTGATGTTAATACTTTCAAGATTGCCACTTCGCTGATTATAACGGGGATCGAGCTGCCCAGTCAGCTCGCGGGGGTCCAGGAGGCAGCACCCCTTGGCGGGTCTGAGACAGCGCCGGGGCAGGGTTGAGGGGCAGCGCCCCCGAAGCAAAATGCAAAAATGTGTTCCAAGTTGCCTGTCTGCTCGAGCGGAGAATGCTGAGTTCCAGAAGTTTTGTGGCTGTTGCCCGTGGTTTTTTATCACAATTAGAGGTGTCCAATTGTGATTTTTTCACGTAAAATCGTTGTGTCGATTTGTCTTGATTGTTTGATTAGGATTGTTATTCACTGCTTAAAATTGATACATAATCACAAATCAACATCTAGGGAATTTCTAGATTTTTCAATTTTTATTCAAAGGAAGTCTTTGAAACTTTCAAGGCATAGAACCTAAACACAATTGCTTGATCATTGTGTTATTTGGTGAAATTTTAGTTAAGCTTTTTGTCGATCTAAGCTTAACAAAAATTTTACTAACAAGAACACAATATTAAATTTCTTTGTTTTCAAAACACACACACCAAAAAAAAAAAAAAAAAAAAACACCCCCCCCAAAAAAAAAAAAAAAAATCCCAAATTGATATAGATTCCAACCGTGATC